AGCCGGAGGGATCTTCAGCCGCCCTCCGGCCTCGGGGACGGCCAGGTCCCCCCCCCAGCCCTTTTCCAGGGGTGAGTCACCAGATGCCTCCCTTCTTCAGAAGACAAGACGGATGCTAAAGACACGAGCGGCTGCAGGAGGGGGGGGGACAGGGGGGGGAGCATTTCACTCCTAATCTCCTCTCCTTAGTTTTTAATCCCCTCTCTCCTCCCGGGCTGCTTTTCCCTCTCCTCCCTCTCCTCCTCTCCTTCCCTCTCTCCGCCCCTGCCCTCACTCCAAGCACAGCTTCACCAGGTTGGCCTGGACCTTGGCTTGGTCCACGGCATCCAGGAGGTTCTTGGCATCCACGGCCAGGGTGTGGGAGGCCGTCAGCATCTGCCGCTTGCACTCCTCGCTCAGCGAGGTGACGGCGTTCTGCTGCGCCAGGCGCATCTTGTTGATGAGGTCAGCCAAGTCCTTGTTGAGCAGCTTCTGGGTCCCCTCGATCTGGCCGTGACAGGCAGGGGTGTGTGGGGGGTGGGGTTACAGACAGGGGTGCCACCGGCACACCACCCCATGGCAGACACCCTTCCCCTCGTCCCTGGTCCTACCTCGGTGCGGGAGGCAGCGGGCAGGACGGGCAGGATCTCGTCGACGCTGCCGATCAGCTTGCGGAGGGACAGGCCCACGTTCTGCGGGGAGGGAGGCAGGGTCAAGGGTGGGTGCGGGTACGGGCATGGGGAAGTGGTGCGTGGGAACGGTCTGTGCCGCTGAGTCAAGGATCCCGTTTGGGAGAGGGGTGGGAGAGAGGTGTGGTGGGAGATTCTCCCATCATTGACCCAGGGACATGACAGAAGAGCAGGGAGTGCTGGAATGCTCCCACTATTGACTTAAGGATCCAACGGAGGAGCAAGGCACATTAGAAACTCTCATTGTTGGCCCAAGGACCCAATGGAGGAGCAGGGAATGCTGGAATGCTCCCTCCATTGACCCAAGGACCAAACAGAGGAGCAGGGCATGTTGGAAACTCTCACTGTTGGTCCAAGGATCCAATGCAGGTGCAGGGAGTGCTGGACATGCTCTCACCATTGACCCAAGGACCAAATGGAGGAGCAGGGAGTGCTGGAATGCTCCCACCATTGACTTAAGGACCCAAAGGAGGAGCAGGGAATGCTGGAATGCTCCCACCATTGACCCAAGGACCCAATGGAGGAGTAGGGAGTGCTGGAAATGCTCCCTCCATTGACCCAAGGACCAAACAGAGGAGCAGGGCATGTTGGAAACTCTCACTGTTGACCCAAGGACCCAACAGAGGAGCTGGGAGTGCTGGACATGCTCCCACCATTGACCCAAGGACCAAATGGAGGAGCAGGGCATGTTGGAAACTCTCATTGTTGATCCAAGGACCCAACAGAGGAGCAGGGAGTGCTGGAAATGCTCCCACCATTGGCCCAAGGCCCCAACGGAGCTACAGAGCGTGCTGGAAATGCTCCCACCATTGGCCCAAGGCCCCAACGGAGGAGCTGGGAATGTTGGAAGCTCTCCCTCTTACATATGCAAGACCTTCCCGAGAAGGATGCTTGGTGGGAGCCGCTCAGCAGACTCATTCCCAGCTCCCTCCCCCGTTCCTGACAAAAGCCCTGGCGTTGTCCCCTCCCTACCTTCACCACGAGGATGTACCCCTCGGGGGGCAGGAGGCTGATCTCGTTCTTCAGCTGCAGCACGGCCCGTACCAGGTCCATGACGTTGCTGTACACCGTGTCATCGGTGCGGTCCAGGTTGGCGGTGGGGGCCGGGTGGATGGATTGCTGGGGAACGGGGACACAACGGGATCAGATGGACCAAGGGGGCAAGAAAAGGAAGACCAACACCTATGGGGAGCCCTGGTCAGACCCATCCACCTCCCGCCCGCCACCCTGATGCTGCTGGGTACGTCTGACCCCTTTGGGGCCTCGGGGGGGGGAGTCAAAAAAGTCTCATCCTGCAGATGCAGAGGGATGATGGAGGTGGAGGAATGTGACTGTGGAGATGGAAGAGGAGGACCAGGACTGTGGTGGCCCAATCCAGGGGGGTCTTACCTGCGCCCCAAGTCTTGGAGGCTTCTGGGGGGGCCCCGTGAACTCTGCTACACCGTCAGTAAGGGAAAGGAAGGAGAGTCACTCCACGCTGCCCCCACGGACACGCGGGAACGCTGCGAGACCCCCTGGGACCTGCCCCACGTCCCACACCACCCAGCAGCAGCGTGTCCCACTGCGGCTGGACACCCAGCCCCACCCCAGGGTCAGACCCCCTTGGACCCCCATGGTTGGGACAGGCAGACCCCCTCCCTCCTAAGGGCAGGCAAAGCTGCTCCCCATGATCTGGGATTTCTTTCTGGGGAAGATCCCAAAGCCGGGAGGGATGTGGCCCCGAGGGCTCCCCGCTTGTAGCCCCACACCCCGTGCAGCTGCGGGCACTCACTGTAATCCGTCTCCTTCTCCGGGAGAAGCTGTGGAGGGGGAAGAAACAGCGAGTAAGAGGCACAAAGTCCTGGCTGGAGGCAGCAAAGATGGAGGAGGCATCGCCATCCCCTCCATACCACCAGTATTTCACCTCATTGACATTTTCAGGTTAATTTTCCCAAGGTGAGGGACATATATATAAATATTTACCACCCATTCACGCCAAAGCAAAGGAGGATCTCTGGACAACCCCAAAAGAAGGACCCAAATACACCCCAACCTGGTTTCTCCAGGGCTGCCACCACTCACCGGAGGAGCGTTGTTGTTCATAAACACAGTCGGGTCCTGCAAAGGGGGAGAAGCTTTGTGAGAGGCATGGAAAAAAGGAAAAAGAGAGGGGGGGAAAAAAGAAAAAAAAAAGGGATTTTCCTGATTTCTGGGAGACTCATGAAACATATCACAGGAACGCCTCTCTGTAGGGTCTGGGAATGTGGGCGGGGAAGGGGCTTCGTGCCCATCACTGGTCCCATCTCCATCCCACCCCATCACGCCTATCTGCTCCTCGCCTGTTCCTGGGGTGCCAGAAACCTCCAAAATACCCCTCCAAAACCTCCAATCCCCCCCCCCCAGCTTAATTCAAGGAGCTGTTTGCAGCCGTTTGGCATCGGGCAGCCCTGGGGGTGAGGGGAACCGGGCTTTGCTTTATCGGCTGCGTGAGCTGATGGAATAAAAGACTTCGAGTCTCCTTCTAAGCCTGCCTCACCACATCAGTCACGTGTTAGCCACCTCCAGCCCTTGTCTCAAAAGCGTTGTAAAAGCTCATTAAGACCCAAGTATTTAAAAACGGCCCAAGTTTCAAAATATCCATTTTGCAAGGAAGCAGCTCCGTGAGATTCTTAGCGGCGCCAGAGGTTTGGCTGCTGGAGGAGCCGTTCCTCCAAGGGAAACTGGCTTTTCCAGCCCCGAAGAGCAACCTCAACGGCTTCAGTGGCTCTTCCACCCCCTTGACGAGAGCCCAAGAGCTGGAAGCCCCCAGCTCGAGGCCGCTCACCAGGGACTTCTCCTCCTTGCCGCAGCCACTGGTAGTCCTCCACCATCTGCTTCTGCTGCTTGTCCAGGACTTGTCGCATCTTGAGCCTCTCCATCTCCCAGAGCTTCTGCGCCTCCTCCCTGCTGCTGGGGCGGAGGAAATCTTCCTCCTGGTGGGCAGAGCCGGAGGTGTCAGGGGGGTGCTCAGGAGACAGAGCCCCCCCCGCCCTGATTTCGGCACGGGAGCCAGAGCCCCGCTCGGCGCGTGCGAGTCATGCGCCAGATGCCGACAGCCAGGAACCCTCCCCCCCCAAACTGGATTTGGGGAGCACTTGGGTTCCCAACAGGGAGAGGAAACCACGGGGTGGCCCCATATCTCCTCCCACCACCGCATCCCAGCACTTTCCATGGGCAGCGTGCATGGGCCAACCGGCGGGGGCGGGGGGCAGCTCGTTGTGCCCACGGCTGTCCCGGCACA